TTTGTCTTTGCTGCTACATTCTGGCTCAGATGACGTGTCAAAGAGAGTAAAAGCTTCATGTTTATCTTCAGGAGGTTTTTGTATCAAGTCTCTGACTTTGTGCAGAATTTGAGAAGTAAACTCAATCCGCTGTTGCTCATTTTTCAATCCAAGATCGAAATTGTTCTCCAGAATGTTTGTGATAAAATGCCATTTACTTTTGCGAACTGTTTTCGCAAAGTCACAGACCTCCAGTATGACACCATTTGTCAATGAATGTAAATCCAATTTCTTGTGTGTGTTGGATCCAACATTAAAATCTAGTCTGATGTTATTGCTGTAATGGAATGGTTCTGGATGTCTTGAGTACTTCTTTACATGCATAATGCGCCACTGCCATATTGTATTGGCATCCATCTTTTTATTGTCCTTCAGACTGCCAGTGTCCCTGTTGTCCATCCTCAGTTATCTCCTATTACTTACTTTCCTGTATGTAGTTTAGGGGGAAACAAATATAAATAATACATCATAAATCTCTGCTTGTAGTTATACACAATAAAAATGTACTCATAATGTCAAATTCATCAGACCAAAATACCAAAAAAATATGCTTTAGTTATAGCTTCTCAAATGTGAGGTTTTGCAAGTCTGTGTCTTTCTTGTCATCTACTTAATACCTTTTGGTGTAACAAAAAGTAACAATGATTCCCCCAACAGCAATGCGCAAGGGCTCACCTGATTTGATTCATCTTAGTAATATTATAGGTACTGGATACTGATTTAAGAGCAGTCAATAAAATAATATAATAATGTTATTAAAAGTTCTTCCCAGGTTTCTCATTATCTATAAAGGCAAAGTGCACTGAAGATACCACACTCTCCAACATCTTCTCTGCTACACAGTGGTCTGACTGTCAGAAGGTTCAGTTGAAAAGCAGACAAGTAGACAGTGAGTTTCAGAGCCCATTTCTAAAGTAAACTTAATTGTGCACCACTTTGTGATGATATTAAGCTACAGTATAAATTTTGGCTTATTCTCTGAAGTAAAGTCTTCAAAACACTACACAGCACAGTCCACTGTGACTTTGTAAAGGCTCAGAGAGACTGCTGCTGAAACCACAACAACCCTAAAGACAGGGTTGCAGGCTCACATATGAATCACATGCTGTTAGTGTGACCGATGTAGACACCAAGATAGCATCAATTTAACAATGGAAAGTGCACCTGCAACAAGTCCATCTTAGGCTGGACGTTAAGTCATAGTAACACTGGAAATAGCAAAAGATCATTTACTTGATAAAGTAGATTAGTGAAGAGAGGTTTTTTCCCTCAAAGTTAATCATCAGACAAAAGAGCAAAAGTATTCAGTAAGAAATTTAATAATTCCTGTACTTATTTGCAGCAGCATATATCCGTAATCTGACTTCAATGATTGGAAATAACTTCCAGTGTTTCTTTTCTAGTTATGTGATCATATTGTTCACATTTTACCATACATATATTACATTTGTGTATGAATTGGATACAGTCTGTATAGCAGCCCTGCTCCCCCATGCAAAGTCTAAAAAAGCACACCAGCAGTGAGACTGATGAATGTTATCTTTTCAGATTAGGAAAAATGTGTGTTTAAATTAGCTGCATACCTTGTAAAACAAAGTGATTTTAGCCAAAACCATTTCCAACATGTCTGGCCCACACTTTATCAGCATCCTAGGTGGACATCTGTCCAGTCGTTGATGGTGCTGGTGTACCCCTGTGTGGAACATAATTTTACATTTTTGTTAATACATGCATGCATTGGTTGCATGACGCTCTAAAACTTATGAACATAGCAGAGTTTTATGTTGAACATAACAGGGAAAAACTGTATTTGATTGCTTAGCAGTAGATTTAATTGCACTTGACCTGGAACAGAATGACAGACTGATCTGCTTTCACTGAAGTCTGTAAGCAATAGAGTGCTGCAGGGATGACATTTTTTTGTAGGCCAACCCGGATGTTAGCGTCTCATCCTTGAGACTAAGTTTTCAGATAATAAACCATTTTTTTCTGCTTTGATCAGTCATTGAAAAATATACAGTATATCCACCATTTCTAAAAAAAAAAACAAATAGTAAAGCAATTAAGACATATAATGCTTGCTTACATTATAATATTTTTGTTTAACATACACCTTACACTTATACCATGGCAAAATACATACATATATATATATATATATATGTATTTTTTTTTAAAAAATGTATACATTTATTGCAAAATGTATGTTTCTATACATTTTCAATTAAAAAAAGATGTCACCCGGGTTCCCTTCTCAGAAAAGCCAATGGGATTTTTACATGGGCTTTTGGATTACTGCAGAACAAGCTCAGTCATAAACAAAACTTTATGATGTTTACATAGTTTGTTCAGCAGGACAATTTTCACAAATCAAATCCACTTTCAGGATTTTTGAAGCCCAAATACAATTGTCAGAATTAAAAAGCTAAAGCTTTTTGGTCAATAAGGTGAAGGAGGGTTAATTTAAAATCAGAGACTGTAGTCCATCTGTTTTGGTTTTTAAGGATCAAGACAAAATATGAAAAGAAGTATTTCAATCTATCAATCTCATATTTTTTTTGCAAAGTTTTACATTCATAAATGTACATTTGCTCAAATGAAACAGCACTTTCATGTTTTCAACAAAGAAAAAGCTTTTTATTAAGACAATAACTGAAAAAAAAAATGCTATTAAAACTATGAAATTCTGCTCCCATTTTAATGTTTTCATTTAGGTCACTTTCTATTTATTTATCTTTACCCCTGGCATATCTTATTTCATTTAATATACTATTTGTATTTTACTTCATTAACATTATCATTATCTAGTTATGCCATATGTATTTTGTTTGAGCTGCTGTTGTGGTTATATTTCTTATTTTTTATTTGGAATATTTGAAATAAAGAACTAAAAGAAAGTTTAATTTAGCATGCTTGCTTCTTCCATAAAGGCCTTTGCTCTCACAAAATTAGTAATAATTTGTAAGAGCGTGAGTATAAACACAACGAGGTTGTAAAGATGGACTGCTGAGTAGGTCGATTTTGTGTCCGGCGTGATTACGTTTAACGTCGCCAACAACCCCTGCACTCCCATTTAGCTACTTGTTAGCAACCGTTTTTTAACAGACGTAAAAGCTTAAAGAAATCACGACTGGGGTATTTACTGACGTATTTTGTTCGTAGAATAAAACGTGAAAATCTCTAGAGCTTGTGTTAACCACAAAACCATATTTCATCCATCTAACCAAAAAAACATAGACTTATGTTAGTGTTAAAATGCTAACTACCTGGTTTTAGGACTCCTACAGCACTGCATAAGATTAATCTTTGACCACGAAGAAACTTTTCTCTCCAGCACGGGAATGGAGAATAGTGTAGAGATTATTATAGCGACAGGAATAGAACAGGCTTTGTGTGTACTGTACAATACAACAACATTAACTGGAAACTTCTTTTTCCCTCTCTGGGGTCGCCTTGTGGCCCACAGTCAGTTTCACGGGAGAAGACCCCAACCCAGCCATGGTGGCAGACTTACCTAAAGCAGGCGGAACAGTCTCACAGCAGTCATGTGTAACAGATCGTGGAAAGGACGTCCAAAGGATACGACACAGGGAACTGCTTTCCACTGTTTACTGTCTCTTGCAGAAGACAATACAAAAGTCATTATTTGTAAACTGCACCTCCTAAACATGCAAAAGCACCCTGCTGGTCGCATGACACAGAGCAGCCTGCCGTAACACGACTGGCGCCTAAACAATGAGCTTAAATATTTACAAAACTCAAACCAACACAAAAACACAAAACAGCTGAATAACGCAGTAGTATTAACTGTTAACAAGATGTTATAAAAATGTCAACATAAATAGCTTATTGTACAATGAAGACAATAAAATAGCGCAACAACTTTTGTCTACCCGACTTACCTTCAGCAATTCGAACAGCACTGTGATTGGTAAAGGGGAGGGGGCTACGGAAACACCGGAGGTAAAAAAGAAAAGCTAATGTGCGGCAATGTATTCCCAACTGGTAATAATAAAAACAACAGTAAATAAGAATAACTCATGATAAAAATTCACAAACACTCAACAGAATTATTAGACAATAAATCAAATTTGCTAATACAAATTATGATTACTAAAGTAATCATAATTAAATTTCCAGGCTGTAGGAGAAACAAAGCAACGTACTTTCTTCATCTTCTTTGAAATTTATTGGCGGTTGGCAAACAACGAATTGGCGCATTACCGCCACCAACTGGAATGGAGTGTGAACTGCAATTAGTGCCAGAGTGAGAGTAATACGGTGAGAGGAGACAAGGTTCTTTATATTTATATATATAAATTGTCCACGAAGGTTGGATATTGTGGGATTTAAAAGAGGTTGAAGGTTTTTGAAGAAATTTTCAGGGATGGCACTTTAGGTTGTGCATAATGTCACACACTCTAACCCTCAATATTCCGTGCAATACACTGAAATTTTGTAAAAATATAACAAAAATAAAAGCTATCAAAATACCGATTTAAACCCCCCAAAAAGTCTCCAGTCTTATAACAAGTTTTAAGTTTCCACCATGTTTCTATATTTATGTATGACGAAGCAATGTGGCTCTCAAGGGGGGTGGGTCTGATCATTTGCACATATTCCTGTTCATTTTTTACAGGAAAGTTTTCGCTACTTGAGTTGCCATGGTTACTCAAATCACAAAGATTTGTTATGATACATTATTCCACAAGATTAGTCTTTTTTTTTTGGTAAGTAGTTATACCCCACAGACTTTTATATGCCCTTTAATAAACAAATAAGCACAGCTGTCTAATTCAAAGAAACATATTTCTTGAAAACATTTCCCTGCAGCCTGTTGAAATTTCTGCTAAACAAAAAAAATCTTTGACACAAAATAAAATTTAACAAAAAAGGTATTTCTAATTGATATAGATTTGTCTTTCCGGAGAAGTAAATAATAGGAATAAAGATGCAAATCCTAATTGAGCAGGCTACTAGTTTATTTCAGAAAAGAAAACATCAAGCCACTTAAACACACTTTTTTGCCAATCACTCCATAGAGAAACTTAAATATTTCATGTAGCAGTATCAATCAACAAAATACAAAAACTATCAAAATCGAAATCAGGAATCTGGTTATCCTCTGGGTGCTGACCGTAGAGAAGTTTGCCATACCCAGTGTAGTGTTGGCATCTTGAAACCTTTGAATATAAATTTCATAGTTTAATTAATTTATGAGATATGAGTTCATATATTTATCTGTGAGTGAGAAGAAAACTTGAAATATAATTGCACACTGCTGCTTACACAAAGATTTAGTGCCTTGTAGCTATAACATGTGAAATGTACTATTTATTTCTAATTCTGGATAAGCAGCCTTGTGGTTGTGCTACTTGGGGTGTGTTTAGAAGGCTCTGAAAAGTTGGTTTGGCATGTATCCCATGTGGAGGAAGGATGTTTGGGCTTCCTGCTCAAGGTTAGCCAGCTCCTGGACTGTTGGAGCTAGTACATCCACATGACCCTTGTAGTTACCACCTAGGAAAAAGCAGCAGACTTAGTGGTTAAGTTCAACATAATAGCAGTGAATATAATAAATGTCTACAGCTCTACTGCCTGCCTTGTCATGATATAATGCTCATTATACAACAGTTTGTTCTGGCCAGTTCATTAGTGTTACATTAACGACCGTTATCTATCTTAGAATGTAACCAACTTTGCACTGAAGAGATGAATTTATTTCCAGAAATAACATTTGAATAAATTTATGTATGGTTGTCAGAAGAGGATGAAAGGAAGAAGCCTGGATACTTCAGCGCTCTCGTGACGTAATATGTAGACAAAGTAGCAAGCTAGTGTGCAATGTGAGGGTCAGGAAAATGTTTATGTGTTGTTTAGCAGTCCAGCTGCGGATCTATTTGTTTTGGCGTAGCCAAATACATGATAAAATAAACACAATCATAATCTGTTGTTGCTTATTTATGGTGCTCGTAGAACTGTTATAAATTAATATCACACGAGAGGGAGTGATGTTGTACTGAATATCAGCCTGCGGCCTCGTACCTATGACCGAATCACAATCGTGCTGATATTCAGTACAACATCCCTCCCTCTCGTGTGATATTGCTTAATTACAATTAATGCAGTAACTACAGATGTTTCAGGAAAGTGGAAAATGAAGCCAACACAGAAGTACCAAAAACTGCAATTTTTCAATGGCCGCTTGAATCTGGCTCCAAAAGCGAGTCAATCCCCATAGACTCCCATGTTAAAATGCTCAAATTTACAGCAGAAATCAACATGTTTACAGCTTGGTACAAAAAACGGTTTGGTCTCTATAACTATTTTCCCCCTCCATAACAACTGCAGGGGGTGTGAATTCTTTTATAACTCTCCAATTAAAATTTTATAAAGGTTTGAAGTTCTGCATAATTGATGGTATGCCGCTTTGAGTGACAGGTGGGTGAGCGTATGCTTCCCAGAAACCGGTATGCGCCGAAGTCTTCGCTCCACATGCGCCCCTCCTCTTTGCCTATTTTTGGATTAGGTGGGAGCTGGGCAGAGTTAAGCACTAGCAGGATGGCGACGGCGTAGCAGCCCAGTCTGAGTTTCAAAACTACTCTTCAGAAACCTATGGGTGACGTCACGGACGCTAAGTGCAAACTTACATACAGTCTATGGGAACAATCAGTCGTCCTCTTTGTTATCCCTCCCTCCTTTTGTCACTCTGTCATACATACCTCCCAATGCCCTGCGCTGACCATAGGTGACCTTTCCATCAAACTCATCTAGAGGTACTTTGATGTCTGGCTCACACTGGGTGATGGTGCACTTTAGGTGCTCCTCAACTTCTGACAGGAGCTGTGGTCAGAGAGAGGCAAAAGGTTACAACAGAAATGAAAGTGCGTGCTGAAGTGTGTGGGAGAGGGTCAAAAGTCTGTGTGTGCTTGAGCTTTCAAAATAAAAATCAAAATGAAACAAACTTTACTACCCAGTAGGGTTCATGGTAACAGTATTAGATTATACACCCTCCAAACCCAAGGGTGCTGTTTCTGCCAGGATGACAAATGCATTGGCTGCTTATCAAATCACTTAAAAACCCATCTGCTGAATCAGAGATGCAGTCATATTTCAAACAGCAAACTTAACTAGCTGCCTTAACATGACTAAGTTTACATATGCATCTTTGTTCACCTCTTTCTCATTGTACCAGATGGTGCAACCTCCATCCTCCTTCAGTCGGGTGTTGTAGCAACCTCTGCCTCGGTTCGGGCAAACATGGTACCACACCTGCACAGAAACATGTACTTACATTTTCAAAAACTAACTTAAATAAAATCAATAAATCACTAGATTTCTATCATCCACCCTACCTTCTCTTTTTCCATTGCAACTAAGGAGATAGCCAGTCCCATTCTGTGGGTTAAATTGAAAAGACACGTGACTGTGCTCAATATTGGAATTCAATGTCCGTCTGTTAAATTGTATTGTGATAAGAAATTTGAATGTGCGTTATGTGAAGATTTCACGGTGATGAATTTGAACACACAAAAATCATGAGAATAAGAAAGATTAAGAAAATAATTTTCACCAATCACCAACTAAGTTACCTCTCTGCTCTTCCGACTCTGCCGATACGATGGACGTAGTTCTGCTTCTCATCTGGCAGGGTGACGTTAATCACTGAAGAAAAAACCATGAACGTTGTGAGAACTGGTGGCAGGGAGCAGGCTTGCATATATAAAATACGACAAAGTGTTCTGCTGTAATAAACACTGTGTATAATCAGTATTTGAAAAGGTATGTCAAAATGTAGATTTTATATTGAAAGTCTTATACGTTTCTCTTACCGTATGGAACTCCATGGATGTCAATTCCTCTGGCGGCTACATCTGTGCAGATCAAGAGCCTCACCTCTTTTTTCTGAACAAACAGGGAGATTTTAAAATACAGGATAACTGATAATACTTTGTCCAAGAGCATTATTAGGTTTTTGTTCTTTTACCTTGAAACGCTCTAAGTTATTTTTCCGCTCATTGGGCTTACGATCACCATGGAGACAAACACAGGAAAACTGGTGGTTTTTACTGTCTGGACCTGAAATAATAAAAGAGACCAATACTGAGTGAGGATTCTGAATTTGTTCCCACTTGGCTGAAAAGTACAATTTAAATGGCCCTGTTGCCTCCTACCTCCTCCTTGCTGGATGAAGTACTGCTCCATGTTGTCACAGTCGATCTTGGTGCGACAGAAGATAATGGCCTGGTCCATCTTGTGTTCTTTGATGGCCTTCACTGTGTACTCACCCTTTAGCACCTTGATGGCTTCTGACCACATTTCTAAAATGCACATACACAGAAAGACATGCACACACACACACACACACACACACAGACACAGACACACAGACAAACACACAGACAGACACAGAGACACAGACACACACACATACACAGACAGAGACACAGACACACACACACACACACACACACACACACAGACACAGAGACACACACACACACACACACACACACACACACACACACACACACACACACACACACACACACACACAGAGACACACACACACACACACACGTATGTTCTTGTTATTGATGCCTCGTTCATGACCACAGAGGGAAGGAAAATGTCTACTAAATCTACTAAAAGACTCCAAAGGCTTGCTCTCAAGAGTTACAAGTGATAAAATCAAATAGTCAAAATTCTGCTATTTATATGGTCGTACCTGCAGAATTTGCTCCTGGTCTGGTGTTATCTTTGGCATGGACTTCATCAGTCTACGGACAGAAAAACAGATCAAAGAAAAGCCCTGTCAACACATTAATCTAAACCAAGGGAAAGACATGATAGCAACCCACAAGTTTTGAAAAGAATGATAAAATCTTTGGACAAAGTTTGAAAGCTAAATTTATAGACAAATGCTTCAGCAGTTTTGAAATTAGTACTCCTTTTTATGTGTCCTTGGCCCAACATGTGGGACTCACCCGGATGTGGTTCTTGCCCAGACGCTCCCAGAGACGATCACTCTTAGGATTAACAGGCACCACTACATGGTGGACAGTCTCTGGAACAGAGTCCTCCCCCTTCAGGTCCACCCATGTGGGAAAGTGCATGATACGCTCAGACAACTTCTTCACGTCAAAGGAATGCAGAGTGGCTGAGCATACAATCACCTGGACAACAGGGATATCAAAGGAAAATCACTTAACCACCTTCAGATGTGTAAACACAGTATGTACTCACAAATGGCTACAAATGTTCTGGCATTACATGACACACTACCAAACAAAATGTTTGGATTTCTTTTGCAAAAACACAGTTTTTTGTTGATTTTCCAGCACTTGAAATAGTACAGCTTTGGGTTAGAAAATGAGACACCGTCTTGGGATTTGTGTTCCTATGATAACATATTGTGTCTAATGTGCAACTTGCTTTGTTAGCTGGCCATTTAAAAACAAAGTTTATGAAAATGCAGTGTGACTGCTGTAACTAACTTGTTTAAGTGTCGCACATGCAGCTTAACCCAAGTGAAGTGTTACCTGCAGTCTCTTGCCATCAGAGGTGACCTGGGGGATTTGGTTATAGATTCTGTTGATAAAATCTGTATAGCCTGCTGACAGCAGCCCATCCTAAGGACAAAGAGAATGCAAATAAATTGTTAATGGAATCAAGGATAGCTATGCTATATAAATTAACCATTAACCACCATGTGTTGAACATACACACTCATCCAGGACCAGAAAACGGATCTGGGACAGACTGAGTTTCCCAGTGGATATGAGGTCATCCAGTCTGCCAGGTGTTCCCACCACAATGTCAACCTGATGAATCACAAGGCAAAGACAGCACACAGAGGGTAGAAAAGATTAACGTGGAGAAGAGCAAAAATTATTAAGTAAAAACTATTTGAACTCTATCGGTAACAGTGCCCTAAATGTTTGGAGATGGTACATGTCACATACCCCCTGTTCCAGAGCAGCCAACTGATCCTTGGCAGCCACACCACCAATCACAAGTAGTTCCCTGAAGTGACAAATTGATAAATTAGACACCAATGCCCACATTTTTACTTGAGCACTGACGCCATCTGCTGGTATCAAAGTGGAATTACAAATACACTGGGAAATGCAGGCAAATGTAGCACACAATGAAAAAGTACTGCACTGTGGAGGACTGTACAGGAATAGATGTGGCTCACTGGTTTTAGTAGTACCTACACATTCTTGAATTTTCAATTTTAAAGGAAAATCATGTTTTTAGACTATTTCTGCCAACCACTGTTAATGCCAGCTCACAATAACCCACCTGAGTTTGGGGTTGTCCACATATTTCTTGAATTGTTTGACATTGTTGAGAGTTTGCTCAGCTAATTCTTTAGATGGCTCAATGATCAGGGCTTTGGGTGCATTGGATGCTGCTTTCACCTGACTGACTTTGGCACTGCCTGCACAGAAAGAAAAAGGACAGTTACTCAACAAGAATCATCAATGAAATCAAATGAAGAATTTGTACCTTTATTTTTATTGTGGGAGATAATGCATCATCTCATTTGAATTTGTGCTAAACATCAAGTTATCATGGCTACTTTTAACTCTACTTTCTGTATATTGGTTTGCTGCACCTGAAATCAGGTTGCATCCACACACCTGTCTGAGAAGATTTGGCTGTGTGACCCTCTGATGCCTGATCCAGGGCAACAAATCCACTCTTTGGGGGGTGTTTAAAGTTTTCTCCACCAAAGTTGAACTTCAGCTCTGCATTCTGCCAGATAATTAAGGGAGCAATTTGTATGGTGTTCATCTGGCACATTTTGGTTTCTTTTCTACCTTTATTTTGAATTGTTCTCTAGTTTTACCTTTAGAACACAGGAGGCAAAGAAAGGCTGATTCCTCAGATTTTGAGGGATCTCAAAAGCCAAACCAAGGTCATTACCTAGAAGAAGAAATCAAATGGTAATGAGAAAGAAACACAGGTACTTTGTTATTTACTATCAGTCACAGATGTTTTACACAATCATGATACTGAAAACTACTGAAACTACTGAGATAGCACCATTTTTGGAGAAGGAAATTTGGCCATTGTCTAAATCCAGGTAGCATCCAATAGTGTCATGCATGGTAAACTCCTGCAAAGAAGCAAGAAATCAAAGAGTTAACATTTTTTTTAACAATCTAAATTTTCCTCACAATTGTTTATATATCTAAATCCCTCAACTGTTACCTCTCCATAGCTGTCAAACTGCTTGTTGTTGGATTTTTTTCCAGTCCCTCCAAAACCAAAACCATGCTTATCAGTTCCTGTAATGAAAGGATTAAATTACTGTTCCGTTGAGACAGTTTATTTTAGCTGCTATATGTTTTGCAGCATTAAGATTGTGAAGAGTAGAGGAGCATACCCAAGTCCAGTGCTGCCTGAATGGTGGACCATCCTACTCGACACAGACCCTGATCATGGCAGGTCACCTCATAACAGTACTTCCCTGAAACACATGGAAGAGACGAATGACTTTTACAAAGAAATATACGATCTATTCATTTTTTTTAGTTTATCAAATAAATAGTTGGTTCCTTGTGAAATGTATCTAATCCTAAATGGTCTTGTTTTAAATCTTAATCAATTTTAAAGTAGTTGTGTGCATTACACACCTTTGGTGACACCTTTTGTAGAGCGACAGCCATGCCACTCTTTAAACTCCCTGCTCTGGCAGCACAGTCCATCTGGACCAATTGCTGTACAGGTAAAAACAAAAAGTGACAATGAGGAGAGGTGAAAAAGAACAAAGCTCAAATACATACAATTGCACTTGGAAAAGGTTAGACTACCGCCCAGTGCTGGATTATGACATTACATGCTTATTTTTCTCTTACCAAAAGCTGTACTGCGATCGTAAGGATTCATCTGCCAAGTGTTGAAAACTGAGACAAAAATAGAAACAGGTCTGGTCAAACATCTGCAGAGCAGAGACCACTGCCTTCATACTATGCATTATAAAAGTTCATCAATTATGACACTGGTCTGGCTAGGTCTATTAGACCAGAGAGTTTTGGACAATGCTATGAACACAATTTAGTTTCTAAATCAACACACATATAGAAGTTGCTGTAAACAAACAAGTGATTAATATTAAGGTGATCTCACTGGCTCCTCCAGTCTTGATGGAGGCTTTGCCCTTCTTGCCCTCCTGGTGATCCTTCAGGGTCTCGTACACAATCTGGATCACAGGGATACTGAAGGCCTGAGGATGACAAGTATTATAAATTAGCTTTTTTATGCTACTTGACCTGATATGTAAATGCTAATTATAAAAAATAAATTAAATGCAAACTCCAGAGGTTAAGTTGTATTTTAAAACCGTGTGGCTGTCAAGTACTTACTCCTGTTTTGCCACTACCAGTTTCTGCTGCCTAAACAACAGGAAAACAAGATGAAAATTTGTAGTATGCAGTGGTGTGCAAATTCTGACAAGCTTATTAAGACAGACAGAGAAAACGAGTTAGACTTACCATAAGTACATCTCCTCCACCAAGAATTAGGGGAATGGACTCAGCCTGGATGTCAGTAGGTAGCCTGAAATCCAATGATTGAAATAAATCAGGTCAAACTGTTAGGCTTATAGCATCTAGTAACAGCTAAAAAACTATGTGCGCATACATGACATTAAAGGCATGATTTAGCAATACTAGTGTGCACGTCAAGTAGGCAGCCCAGCCTTAGTCACTTACAGCCATTCCATCTCATCCACAGCCTGCGCAATTTCAGGCATAACCCCCATTTCTGTGGAACAAAAGTCATATCTAATGATTCTGTGTGTATATGTAACTCTTACAAGTTATTTGGTGTTGAAGTCAAATAGTTATGCGACGTCAACACGATGAAATTAAGACACATTTCTTACCAGAATACGCTGCCATTATTGCTGCTACGAATACAACTAAACCGGATGTAACGTGTTCACAGTTTTCGGCTCGGTGCAAGCGGGTGCAACTCGTTAAGCGGACTGACCTAGCAACCTTATAACATTGGTTCCGGATAGAGTACTATTTTTTAAAATATGTTTTTTGGTTTTCACGTGGTTTTTAGGGTCATGTGTACTGCACATATTCCTATCCATCATTACATGATAGTGTGATAAGTGAAGACGTCTAACCGATTTTTCTGAGCGATTAGCTACAGTTTCCAAACGCGGTTCCTTGATATATTTTGTCCCATGCTAACTGCCGTAGACGTTTGACAGCTGGTTCAAGTAAATATGGCTGAACATAGCCTGGTTGAAGGCGAAGATGAAAATATTTTATACGACTTACTTGTTATTACTGAATGGCCGCCAGAGACGGACACTCAGGTTGGTCTAAATTCCACTTTCCCATTTTCAACCCGCTGTGTAGGTCTTGTGTTGACAGTTTATTCGTAAAAGTGACCACCGAAAGTCAACTATCATCAGTTGTATGGGGCCAGCCGCGCAAAGCCACGTAGCACAAACATAACTACTATTAGTTTGCGAAACAGTTAAATCTCTTTTCATATTGCAGTGGGGTGTAGCTTTCATTTTGCACCACTATACGTAGCATGCACTTGTTTCACTTGCAGTTAGGGTGTTTTTATAGGACAGCATTCACATTTCACCACCGTTAGCTAGCCTAATGGAGTATGTGTCCTGCCTGCCAGACACGTTAACATGAAGTTATCCACAGCATTAAATGAATCCTTGATTCTGGTAATCAGGTTGTGGTTGTAACTTTTTTGCCTTTTTGTTGTTGATGTAAAGCAGTTTGTGATTTTGTACTTGTGAAAGGTGCTATACAAATAAACTTTACTTACTTACTTAGATTTGAAATTCATTGTCAATACCTAATAGGCAAGGAACCGATTACAACTATGTTTGTTTGAGGAATGACATGAAAGATGATGAGCTCACCTGTCACTTTTTTATCATTTGCAGTTGCGAGGCAACAAGGAGCACACCTCACTTATTGCAAAAGCTGTGACAGGTAAGTTCTGCCTTCTTCCATGCATACTAAAGCAGACACTTTGTAACAAAATATGTTTTCAGCAGCATGTTTTTAGATATGTAACTTGGGCGTTAGTCCACTGTGCTTCTGCTTCCACCAGATTTAAGTGTAGGATTGGTAGCAAGCAGTGTCAGATTCAGATTCAGTTTCAGACAACTTTATTAATCCCAAGAAGGGAAATTCCTTTGCAGCTTACCCAGTCCATACACACAAGTTATATGACAGAGGCAACAGATGAACATACGTGGGTAATACAAGGAGCAAGCAAGTAAAATAAAAAGAAATAAAACAGATGAAATTGGTAAAAATAATACATCGTGATACAGTTTCTATAGTGAATACGTAATATAAATACATGAATGACTGAACTTAAGAATTTATATATAACAGTCATTTAAAATGACAAATGTCAGTTTTTAGTAGCCTGATAGCAGAAGGAATGATTCATTGTAACGTTGGCCTGAGGGCATTACAGTAAATTCACTGCACAGAACATGATCTGGCTGATAATTCCTTTTGCTTTCTGGGCCACCTGTCTTTTTGCTGGTCTCCAATCATCTTTTAGCAAACTTTAACAATACCATTTAGCCTATTTTTGTCACGAACGGACAACCCATTAAACCAGCAAATAAATCACTGTTGCTGATTGCTGGAAAGTAGGTCAGCAATTCTGTGAAGGTGTTTTCAGACTTACACCAAAATGAAAACACAAGACAACAGTAACTGTTAGGACTACGTCTTAATGAAAATTTGCGCACAGGAATACCGGGGCAGAGTCTTGTGTTATCTTCCCCAATCTCAAATGAAGAAATAACGCATACTTACAGGCACCCAGTCACAGACAGCAGATTTGATATGATTCCTGGAATAGATGATGCATTAGATATGAAAGGTTTCTTACTCAAAATTATGTCAGCATGAATGTTATGATATTGAGTGTCGGTATATTCAAGAAGACAGATATCCCCCCTTAATCCAACAGTAGGAGGTGCCAGATCTGCTGATGAATAGTTGTTGGTCTTGGGAACGCTTTAGTGTTAGACCACTTTTGATTGGATCTGAGACTGATCCCACCAACTTCGAGCTCTATATTAAACACAGTCTCTAATCTTAATTTAGAATGTGACAAGAGTCATTCCAATCAAACAAAATAAGACATTATCACACATTTACTACAATTCTGCATACTAACTGTTATGAATTTCTTACAGGGCCATTCCGCTTAATTCTGCACTATTTGTGGTACAGGTAAGTTTATCATCATTTTGCTATATCCAGAGGCTGACAGGCAGCGCAGTCTGTCCAAACTTACATGCTGACATGCTATAAGAAGCTTGTTAGATGGTGATTATTACTAATTTATTACTGGTATGATTTTTCTAATAAGAAGTGTGTGGCTTAATACACTCGTTTGAGTAAATCACACAATCAACATATAAGCATAATTATGATTTCTAAATGGTATGGTTTGCATGTTTATGTTTAAATTAGCTACCTTATAAATGCAGAAGTGTTTGTGAAATGAAATCTAAGGCCTAGAACTATATATTACATAAAAAATTACCAAGATAGCAACAGAATCCTTAGAACTGTAAATTCTGTGGTTTGATGGCTCAAAATCTGAAAATAACACAATACTTTTGGATTCAACCTGAAATTAGAATCTGTATAGCATTTTTTAATATGCAAATATAAAGACAGCTTTTACCCATAATGTAATTCTTGTAAATATTCCTATTCTTGAGTGGAATAGCAATGAAATTTAAAACCACTTTGTATTTTTGACTTGAATACTGTATGTGTAGTCATAATATAATGTTTCACCAATATTACAACATATGAAGAAACAGAATAATCAACGATTAGCTAAGACGTTTGTGTCTTCAATTTATGGCACAATTTGATGACAAAGTGTATCTGTTTCTTTTTGCAACAAATGTGAATATTACTACACTGGGACTGAGACCTTAATTGAGTTACTACAGTAGTTCTCAAACTGTTGGTGGACAAGTGAAATTAAGGTGAATGAATATGATTCACCTTAAATTGAAATTAAAAAAAAAAAGTTTGGTGATACTATTGTGCTGACCCATATTTCACTAAAATTCAACATGGATCCTTTTTTATCAGTTTGTTCCCCTATTATGAATGATAGATAAAAATTATGGGGTGGGGGGTATGTTTGTGTGAACGTTTTTTAGCTGAAGCAGGGCACCCCAGAAAAAGAGAGAATCACTGGTTTAGTCAATCTCCACTTTCTAAACTTTGTCAAACCAAAGTCTGACTGAAAGAATCCTCTATTCAAGATGAAGAATTCTCAGGATTTTTTATTTTTTTTAATCAGAATTAATCTGAAAATACTTGTTCACCCTGCTCTTACCGCAGAGTATCTAATCTAATGTGTTAATAGATGGCTTGATGTTGCCTGTAGTGAACTGTGTAGTGCTCTCTAGCATCAAGGCCTGCTTATCCTCTCAGCAGGTGGTTAGCTAGTATCATCAGTAAGCTTGTTAAATATTTAAGAACTCCTCATGCTTTTTCTCAGCTCTCTTTCTCTTTTGGTGGATGAAAAGGGATCAGGAGTTTCATTTGAAAGAACTGAAGAGAGTAGGCAGACTGCCCCTACACACACATGCTGTGACATTTTCTTTTATAGGAGGGGGACAAGAGAAGTCTCTGGCAATTTATTTTTAGAATTGGCAGAATAATACAATGCAGTATATCAGTGTCCAACAACAGTCATCTTGGTTACTATTGCACAGAATCACTGGTATCAACTACACCCAAAAATAAAATTAAACTGAAACTGTAATGAAATGGGAAAACACTGAAATTGAAAATTGAATGTGTCTACAAATAACGCACAAGAATAACTTTGTCACAATTAAAAACACTGGAGTAAAACAAAGTGTAAAAAAAGTACAAAACGGCTGAAATTACTAACAGTGTGAAGATCATCCTCAGCAGACATTGTGAATGTGCCATGGCTAAATTCACTTGAAATAGATGGGCACAAAAAATTGCTAATAACTCTATTTGAAAGAATGATTGAGAGTAGTCCAGCATTAAAATCTAAAATCCAAACAAAAGAAGTGAATCAAAAATCCTTACAATTCTGGAGACATATTTTATTCACAAGGCTTCCTAAGGATAAAAGTAGATCCTAACTGGCTGAGTTAGGAGAAACTTTTGGTCTAAGGGTATTTCAGAAAGCATTTTAGTTCCAAAAATGAGTTTAGAGTTCAGGGGACTGTTCTAAGGCTTGTTCACAATCAGTCAAATGTGGCTCACCACAATTAACTTTTAAATAAACTTCATTTAATTTGAAACGTTAGTTAGTATAATTTTGTTTAAATTATTGTAATCGAATTTAATATAGTATATTTAGAATTGAATTCAATACATTTTTTAATTCATTTGATAGAGTTAAGTTTAACTAAATTTAATTAATTTAACTTAAGATGTAGTTAAACCTTTTGCATGCAAGTCAAAATAATAAAAAAAAAAAAAATTTTTAATTAAGTAAATTAATTTGAATTAATGGAATTAATTTTGAAATGAAAGTAAATGCAATTTAAGTTTAAATTAATTAAGGTTTTAATAAAATGTTATATATATATATATATATATATATATATATATATACAGTATATATATATATATAATCAAATCTAGTCTAGTCTGCTCCTATGCATTGATGATTATTACACCATTACAGACTGGTCATTTGTCAACAAATCTCTGTAGACATAGTGAGTAAATTCATTCAGAAACATGATGTCATCCATAATAATGTGGTTTAATATGAAACTCTTTCTCAGGAACTTTAAGCATCATTGAAGAAGACTGGTAGTAATAAGAAAAGAATCTTGGTGAATATGGCCTCTGTAGTGGTTATCAACCTTTTGTAATGTGTTAAATTTC